AAGTTCCATCAAAATTGATCCAGCCATTTTGGAGATTAGCCTGAACAAACAGACAGACAGACAAAATTTTTAAAACTTGTATTGTTGTTATAGGCGGCACTGAAAATTTCGGGAATCAAGGAAGTGACACAACATTACTATTTAAAAATGTATTTATTTCTTTTCGAAGTATTCTCCGCGAAATTTGACACATTTTTCCATACGATGGAACCAATCATTGAAGCAACCATTCCATTCGGAATTTGGGGTCTCCAAAATGGCCGTTTTGTAGGCGTCCACAGCTCCTTCAGATGATGAAAATCTCTGTCCACGCAATTTATTCTTTATTTTAGGGAAATATAGAAATCATTAGGGCTTAGGTCGGGGCTGTACGGCGGACCTTCTAATAATTCTATGTTTTCTTGCTCTAAAAACTCTTTTGTTCTGTGTGCGGTGTGAGAACTCGCATTGTCGTGATGGAGGATGATGCGGCGGTTGCAGTTCTCTTTACGGAGTTCAGAAACGACCTGTGGCAAACAAATGCTAGCATACCATTCTGCATTAACCGTTCTTTGTCCCTCAAGAGGAATAGTCGTAACATGGCCGGTTTTGGAGACAAACGTGGCCACCTATTTATTGCAACACTCCGTGAACGAATAATTTTTGTTGGCTTTAACTCATTTTCGAACACCCAAACTCGTGACTGGTTTTTTTTTCGGGTTCGTAGTTCGTACGCGTATATCCAGGATTCGTCACCTGATACGATGTTGTATACAGCATTTAAGGATCCTACGTGGAATCTTTCGAGAGTTCTGACGCACCAAGTAACGCGAGCCGCTTTTTGCTCTTCACAGAGCGAATGCGGTATCCATCGGGAAAACAACTTTTTTACACCTAATTGTTCATGCAAGATTATTTGTATTTGACTCATGCCAATGTCTAAAGTTGCCTGAATTTCGCGTTATGTCACATGTCGATCTTCCTCAATCAGCTTACGCACAGCATCAACGTTTTCTTGGGTGACTGCAGTTTTTGGACGACCTTGACGGGGATAATCACTGAGCTTGACACGTCCACGTTGAAATTCAGCAAACCAGCGATATTGTGGTTTTGGATGGGGCTTCATCACCAAATGCAGAAATCATCCGGTCAACACACTGTTTTTGTGTTAAACCACTTCGAAAGTCATAATAAATCTTCGCTCTTGAATTTTCTCGAGTCAATTCCATTTTCTCAACGACTAAACAAGTTTGACAAAATCTTGTGACAAGACCGAGAATCTTTTTTTAAATAAATAAATGGTATTCGATTTTTAAAACCAAGGTCTTTTCAATTAAAAAGATTTTAATATGACAGGAACAGTGGAAATATTCCATTCCCGATACTTTTAGTGCAGCCTATGTAAGTACTGTGTATACTTTCATATGCATGTAATAAAAAGCGGTTCATGACATTACAAACAGACACTTCATTTTTATTTATATGTATATAGATACAATACTAAAAAAATTGCCATGTCATTTAAAAGTATCTTTCATATTTATAAAATATCATATCATATAAAAAAAAATAATGTAAAAAGATATACAAACTGTCTTTGAATCCACGCTACGCTATTCTAAAACTAAATCAACGTCAATAGCCATCATTAAGCCATTATCTAGCATTACTTAAATTTTACCTTGTACTTAAATGCACGCGAATAATTTAGTACATAAGTAAACGAAGAGCCGTGGCATCTCAGAGGTTACGCGCCCGCTGCAAATATCACAATATGCAATTTACCACGTGCCCGGCGATGAAGAAAACGTCGTGAGGAAATCTGCGTGTTTAAAATTGAGCAAGGTTTTTTCGATAACATGTGAAGTCCACCAACACGCATTGGGGCAGCACGGCGGACACTTCTTTGCCCTAAACACCCTCTAAAAATGAGAGGAGGACTGTGCGCGTCACAGGGACATATTAGTATAAGAATCCATTACCTAATTTTGATCCCGTGATTGTTATATGAGGCGACAATAAAATTATAGACAAATCTCACGAATTCCGATGGATGTTGGTTCCAAGTAATCCAAGCAAGTGCCAAGCGTGGGGATTATGGAAAATCCTTTGTACAATAGGATAGGCCCATGTCCAGAAACTGACTATTGCGGGGTGATAAAGAAGAAATAATAATTGCGATTCCTCAACTTTAGTTAGACTGTACAAACATTTTATGATTTTATGTTTACGCGGTAGACACAATCAATACAAAACAATGGTTCATGGAATAAGCTCGATTTGTTTCCACGAACTTCAAAAATTGTTATGTTTCATAATGGGAAGTGCCGAGAACCGAAATCTAATTGTAAAAACCCAGGTAAGCGAGGCATTTCATCTTTGTACGTACCTACTCGAAAGTCTCGTGAGTGACAATACTTTCGTTGACAATGGATGCTTAAGTGTTTTTGTTGTGATTTTCTTTTATTTATTCAATGAGTGCTAAAAATTTGATTGATAAACTAAGTCTAACCGATGATACGTAGATACTGCGGTCCATAGACACCTTCATATCGACGCTTGAAATGTAATAATTACCAAGCGACACATTGGCAACTTTACACTAATTCGTAAAAAATCGTCTGTTATTCATAACTACTCGATTCTAACAAATTTTAGATAAAGATTGAAGGATTATTAAACTAGCATTTAAAAATTTTGAATTTTTTCAATATTTTATGAAATAGTGGCGGTTAGTAATAATTTCATCAAAATCACAAACAGGTAACCTAAACCTCATTATTTTATGATTGTATTTGAAGTAAAATGACGCATCCAGAAATAAAACATATTTGACATAATATGGGTAAAATTATCTAAATAAAATTCAAAAAACTTTTCTGCCAGCCAATTTTAATCATAGTACAAATGAATGAAGAAAGATTGACGAAAAAAGTGTATAAGGCGAGTGTGAATGAAAGTGTTGGAAGGGGTAGACCTAGGCGGACAAGAGTACCCTAAACCGTAGAGCATGTATGAAGGGAATAATGAAAGTGGACGAAGCAAAACAATTATGTAAGGATCGTAGCAAGTGGAAAGAACTGGTCTCTGCCTACCCCTACGGGAAAGAGGCGTGATTATATGTATGTATGTATGTACAAATTAAATAAGGTTAGTGTAGGATTTTCTTGAACAAGTAACAATGAATTAAGGTTTTACTACACAAAATCAAGGACTTTCGGACAAAGGTTTTCGACGGACATCGTCATCATCATTATAATTACAGCCCTTTTAGTAATCTACAATCACCCACTACTGAGCATGTTCCTCCATCTGATGAGGGATGAATTAGAGCATAAACCACCACGCTGCTCTAGTGCGGGATGATGGAGGTTTTAGGCCAGTGACTAACCCTTTCTTCATGAGGTCTACATATACCTGTAACATACGAATATTGCAGACAAATCTCTCGCAAAGCGGATAGCTGATCTTATAAAGAATGTGGGCTATCGTTGAATATTTAAGATAGCTTAAATCAACTGTTTGTAAAAATAAACTAAAATAATTATTAATTACTATTATAGGTACTAATTCTATTACTAAAATAAGTACATACATAATTTCAAAATAAGTATAGGTAGGTAAAACACAATTTCAACTAAGAAGAAAATTGCCATCAAGTTTTTAAAATATTCTAAAATTACAAATACGTTTCACAATCAAAACAACATGAGTGAAAATATTTTGGTTAATTATCAATTAAACAACACAATTAAGATCACGTCCTAACAATTTATAGCTTTACTTACTACTTATTAGGCATAAGTGGCATATTAGGTTGCCTATGCGACAGTTAGGTGAACACTAATCGATATTTTGGTAAGGTAAGGTGGGTTAAAAAGTCTTAATGACTAGACAAAAAAAAATTGATCCGGTAAAATTTCTTAAAGATATTGTTAGGAAAAAAAAAAACTGTTAATCCACATTAATTTGAATCAAGGCAAAAAGTACGAAGTGTATAAAATTAAAATCGAATACCTACCAAGTGAAAATTATTCATAAATTAGTAAAATTTTAGTCCCTTGGTCGCCGTAAACTGTGAAAATGTGATTTTTTTTTAAGTTACCAAGCGACAACAAAACTCTTTCGGTATGAGAGCATGACATATCGACGCAGATTTTTTTGCTTTGTTTCAATGATGTATATAACTCAATATCGCTCAAAATGTTGCTTAGTAGTTATTGTCTTTCAAGCGCTGATATTACACTCTCGAAACGCTTGTTATAGGTAAAAAGGGTTACTGGTTGGCGCCACTCAACATACGAATTACACCATCAGTCACCAGCAATATTTTTTCAAGTGTGGTCCCTCGTCAAACCGACCTTTTTGTGATGCATGCTACTTTGCAGCGTGGCTTTACTTCGTATGAAGTAGTTAAAAATAATAAATTTAGTCGGTACCAAGGCAAAAACTAACATACCACTCTCCATAATGTATTTCTTAAATATATTCTAGAAATACAGTTTATTATATAAAATACACATTGAAAACCCTTCCTTTGAAATCCTTGCAAGTTTTAGAAATAATTCAATTTTTTATTTAAGTAATCATAGAAGTGAATTTTTAAAGAAATTCTGTAACAAATTTAAATGATAGATAGTACCTAATTATAATCCGCTGTGATTTCTATTGTGCTGTTACAAAAGTTTTATTTTATTAAAAATATATCACTTATAAAAGAATTAAGATCCTTAATAACGTTAAGTCGTGGAGCATCTGTGGTTTCTACAATGGATAAAATTCTGAATTCTGTGTGACGATCTGAGTACAAATTATTCTTAAGATTCTTGTTTGCTTGCTTTAGATATATATTTAATTATTACTTTTAGCAACTCATTGTTTAATATTGTCAAGTTATATCATCATCCGTGGGTTATCATGGGTCGCGGGCACATGGTGTCGATCTCCGCCTTTAAAAGTAGTCTCAGTGTACTCTTGGGTTCCTGCAACGCGAGCAAGTCGGACAAGGTGTTTAGCAAGAAATGGCAGCGCAAGTGATTTCGGGTACCGAAGTAGCCCGGTACGATTTTTTAAAAATAATGTTGTGTTTTTTATATAATTGTAACTTCCATATAAATAATAATTATTATATAACGGAGTATGTAAAGATAGTAGGACTTTTTCGAGTTGAAGCTTTTATGCTTGTACGTACGTATGTACGTACGTACGTACGCTACGTATCAAACGTAGCTATAACATATATTAATATAAGTTACAGCAAGACTTATTACGATATATTTTATATAACGACTTAAATAATCCAATTTTATATTAGTTAACATTATTTGTTTAGCAACTATTTTACGTGGTAGTGCCATGCTGCAGCTATATTATGGTGGTTAATGGTTATAGCACGAATGGGTCGGCTCGACCGGGCAAGGATCACATTCTCACATAATACCAGCGTTAAATAGCAGCTTAATGCTGCTGTTTTCGTATGGTGAGTGTAGAAAACTGGAACCCTTTTTACTTAAAATGAGGCATTCCGTCTTGGTCTTCAGGGGTTACAACGTATCTGCATTTTGATTATTAACTGAGGATAGATGTAAATGTCTATTGGCCACAGTATTCACTTACCATCAGCTGGAATGTGTGTTCATTTGTCACCTTTATTCTATAATAAAAAAAACTACCATTTTAAAATTATATTTTATTCCAATGTGTTCTATTTTTAAACGAATTGTTTATCTTTAAAATTATTAGAACACATCGGTACTGATTGTCAATAAAGATTAGATTAAATACGGCACAACAATTATACTGCCTTCATTTCTACTGTCAACTGTTTTTTATCTAAAATAACTGGGATCAAGAAAAACGTCTGGAACTGTGGAAACAACAAACCATAGTAAAATTTCACCTTTGACTTATAAGTATAAAAATTATAATAATATTATTTATATTAGACGAATATAGTAATTAGTGTCCGACTGAAACAAGATTTTCAACCGAAACCGAAACCGAAAACGAATTTTCGGTCTGGGTGTTAGTTTCGGCCGAAACCGAAACCGAAACTTATTTAGACATGTTAATTTTTTTTATTGTTTACTGAATTCTGGTATTTTTTTATACATATACAGATAGGTAATGCATGTTAAGGAAAAACAGTTATTGTGACAGTCATGTAGAAATATATTTATTTATATTAAATTAAAAATCAACCATTTCACGTTAAGAAATACTTTTTAAGTCTATTTTGCAGAAAAATCAACACTTACACCCATAAAAAGTTACTAATGCAGTTGTAAACAGTGGCACGATATGGGGTTTCCTCATGAAAGGCCAATCGAAGTCTATCATAACTTTCTTGTTGATTTAAATGGCATCGAAATTCATAAAAAATCATTGTACGAAAATTTTCTCGCGTTAAATTCATGCTGACGTGACACAGACAATTTTCAATTTGCCGCCAAATCGTAATCAAATGACAAATTAATAAAATAGATACACAATAATATTGACAAAGAGTTCCATTTTCAAAATTTGAACTTATTTTTTTATTATATCGTTTACAAGTGGCCCGTTCTAAAAACTTTCAGTGTCACCCTCATACGTCGTTTCAAAACATGTTTAGTAGGATTATTGGGTTTGATAGATCTATTGGGTAGATCCTTGGACCGAAAGAAAAAGGGCCTCGCTGATGCAACTTCGCCCACGTTTATATTAGTCCACGCTACGGCTCTGGTTGTAAGCTGTTATTTAAAAAAAAAGTCTTGCTGGTTCTTCCAAGGACAGAGGTTTTTTTTTCCAACCAGTGGTAATTAAACAAAAGAGTGACTTTCAATAAGTATTATTTACAATCTATATTGAATAAAAAAGTTTCTGTTTCTGTATAATTATGAATAAAACACGAGTCACGACCTCATCCGAACGACGCACGGTAATCCACGAACACTGAGTTTCGGCGCCGCCGAAGGTTCGGCAGATTTTTTGCCGAAACCGAAACTATTACCGACACTAGATTTTTTGCCGAAACTTGCTGAAACCGATTCTTCGGTCGGTCAGTAATAATAATACTATATACAGGTAATACAATATTTAAGACTGGCACCGTTTCCGTTCGCCGTACCTACTGACTTAAAATTTTACATTAAAATTTGCTATCGCTGTTCACGCACAATCAAAATCTGAAATAGGGAAAGTATGAGGAACGACTTGTTTATGAATAAGTATTAGAGATAAATAATTAACACTTCATTAATTCCTCTTAATATTGAGGAAGCGGAAGGGGTAGAAACATGTTTAAAACCTAATTATGAAAAAGTGAAAGTGTTTGCTTAATCGCAAATAATGAGGAACTTCCAAATTATCTCCAAAGAGTTAAAATAACACAAGAAAAGAATAATACAAATTATCTCCTTCTTTTCAGGCAAAATAATCAAAACTCGAAGCTGCAATCTTGTGACCAGTAGTGGAATTTTTCGTATAAAAAAGTAAAATTAATTTATTATTATATTTCCTCTTACACATTTAAGGGCGATCGAGAATGACTTGCGGCAGCAGGTTTCAGAGCTACGATCCAAGTCGCCGCACTTTCAACCGCGTCTGGCCATCGTTCAGGTGGGCGGCCGTGAGGACTCTAACGTCTACATCCGCATGAAGCTGAAAGCCGCTGAGAACATTGGCATCGTGGCTGAACACATTCGTCTGCCGAGAGACTGCACACAAACTGAGGTGAGTGTTTACCTTGTGTACGACATTTGCCTTATGTGACGTCTAATGAAAATGCCAGGTATATTTTCTAATCAATTTTTATCTTACAAATTTGCTTAGTAACTCACCTATAGTCCGAACAATCCTAGTAGTGAATAAAGTTCACGAGAGGATTGACATATTTTCGAGTAATCTGAGTGAACTCGCTAAGGTACCTTTATATATAGACAGTTATGTAAGTTAGTTTTAATACATAGTATATTTAAGTAGATTAGTGACACTATCGTAGTGGGATTGTTCAGCCTGTAAGGATAGTTGTTAAGTGTGTGTGTGTGTGTGTAAATAAATAAATAAATAAATCTCAGATAGCTATGAGCTAAACCATGGTCAAACTTTACTCTTTACATGTTTATCTTTTTTGGGAAGTAAATTTCAACACGAATACGACAATAGAAGTTCAATTCCTGTTTCCAGGATTTCATTAGCAGAGGCATAAAATGAAAATAATGGCTGATATGATTTTTTCTATATAAAAACCATCTAAATTTTATAGCTACGGGTAACTGGAAATCTGCAATACGTACATTAATTTTTCCATAGAAACTGAGTCGTTTTAAATTTTCATGCAAACTTACAAATTCATGGGCAAATCAAAACATTGAGTATAAAATGATCTGATGAAAGAGCATTATTTTTAAAGGAATTCATAATAATTTTAATTCATAAGTTTATATTGAAAACAAAAAGAATCCGCCTTTGATTTTTACTTAAATTATTAATCGATTTTTAACACTTATGGCACAGATTAAATAACGTGATTTCATGCTTAAGATGTGAGGGCGAGTAATTAGTATTTATGTATATTATGTATTTAATATATAATTAAGAACTTAATTTTATATTAAATAATTAATATGAAACTTAAAAAATTTAAATTAAATGATTATATTTCGAATCATGATTAAAATAACAATTGAACTAATCTTACGGTTTTTATCGCTTTATGAGCCCTCTGGAACAAAGATTTTCCCACGGTAGCTAACCTGATGAAAATAGATCATGAATCATGATGGAGAGAATGACGTTTAAATATCGGTTATTATGGGTTTTATATTCCTATACACAATATTACATAAGGTGTTGTTTAAATTTCAAATTACTAAAACAGGTGAGAAAGCTGAAGAGTCGGTGAGCCATTATTTACATCTAATCCCTTTGTGGATTTACATTTTAAAGCTTATGGAGAGGTGTTCTAAAAAGTAGTGTGTAAGAAGTCATCTATATTCTATACAAATAAATAAAATTGAAGTGTCTGTTTGTAATGTCAAAATTACGGGTTTTTACTAAATGTATATGAAAGTATATACGATACTTATAACAAAAACACAATTTTTAAAATTGTTGTCTGTCTGTCGATCTGTCTGTCTGTCTGTTTGTTCCGGCTAATCTCTGAAACGGCTGGACCGATTTTGACGGGACTTTCACTGGCAGATAGCTGATGTAATAAGGAGTAACTTAGGCTACTTTTATTTTAGAAAAATAATTAGGGTTCCGCGCAAAAAAAAAAACCAAATAACACGCGAGCGAAGTCGCGAGGATCAGCTAGTTATAAATAAATAATTTTAAGAAGTCATTATAAATTAATATTATCATTATTAATAAGTAATTAAAAGAATGCTTAAACATTAAAACGAACGTAACATTAAGCGCGATAGTTTGTTACCCTTGCTCTTTGACTCTTCACTATCAGTTTATGACGTTAAAATTAGTTTGGGTATAGTTTATTACTATTATAAAAGTACCTAAGTGATATGTATTCTACCTATATATCTCTATATTTTAGTATAATGATAATTTCATCACATGTTTTGTATTTCGTACCAACTTTGAAATAATACTGGCTGATTTGACTGACAGGGTACTTTTAGAACAGAAGCTATCAACTGATTAATTGATACAATACTGTTAATAATATTGTTACAAGTGTTCGTGCTGCGTCTCTCGTTATTGATGTACCCTAAAATAGCCCTGAAAATAGCCCACCTGCTAATAAATTAAATTGAACTAGATACAATCTGTGAAATTAAATTTACTTAAAGTATATTATACTCCTATTGATATCACTGTGCTCGACCTAATCTCGCTGAATAAATTACATTCTTATGTAGTTCATCTTAGCATCGTCGTCCTACACTGCGAGTACTTGTATGTTCTGTATTAGCCATGGTATTAAAATCAGCAAACCGTTCTAGTCTTGAATTAACGAGCTATCAGTGTCCGATTATCGCCAACATCACTGAGTTGTAGTTGGAGATATTTTGAAAGTTTCTCAGTTCGCCATTTTACACTATACTCATAAAATGAGATTTGTACTCAGGGGTGGGATTGTAAATACAACTTTAATGCTCACAATAGATTGCTACACAGTTATAGAGAAATATTTTTGTCATTTACCACACTAGACCCACGGGTTGGAAACCGCAGTTTGTTTTGTTGTTATCAGGAAGATGTCCTTTGTAGCATTGTATATTTTCGAACCGATCGATATTGCGAACCGATTTTGATGATTCTTTTTTTATTTGAAAGCTGGTGCTTCTCATGTGGTCCCATATAAATTTAATCAAGATCTGACCGCTACTTTTTGGTTATCCTTAATAATGCGTATTTAATTGACTTCGACTACATTAAAGATGTTCTCATTTTATTTATATTGAAGTCGGTTACACAAAATTTTTTTTTTAATATTTGAAAAAAAAAATTATTTTATCACTTGTATGTCAAAATATAAGTAGACTAACTAAACTTTCGAATTAGATTACCTTGTAACGATAGTCTCATGGTGAAATAAGAACTACAGAAAATAAATATTTGTCTTTTATCTACGTGTCTTCATTTATTATGTTATGGTATTACTTATTTTAGTTGCTGACAAAGTTAACATACTTGAACGAGTCGCCCCAAGTACACGGAATCATAGTCCAAATGCCGCTGGACTCTGAGCATCAAATCGACTCTCATCTCATCACTGATGCAGTTTTTTCGCATAAGGATGTTGACGGGTAAGCAGCAGATAGTTCGTTTATGCGATCACGAGTTCTGGGGTTATACACCACATAATATTATACATATATAATATGTATATACTTATATAGGAAGAGGAGATATTTAGTCGTCTCGTCATAATAATTACTAATTAACAGATTTTGGTTTTTTCAAAATTATGTTTCAAATTGATGTTCACTGAGTATTTGTGAGACAAGTCCATTATGTTTTGTTGTGAAAATTTTCACAAATCACCAATTTCTATAGTAAAATTAACAAGATGTAAAATGACTGTTAGACGCGCGGTGAAAGAAAGAAACTAAATTTAAACGTATTTGCTCTGACTCAGACTCAACTGTTACTATGTTAGACGCATCATTGTATTATGACTAAAAGTTAAGGCAATTTAAACAAAATCAACTATCAACTCAGCCCATACCTAGCCTTTCAATTAACTGGCTGATTAAGCTGTCGAGCTGCGACATTTAAACTGGAACGTGAAAACACTAAAATGTGGTTTGTTATAAACAATATCTTTTAATAGATTAAACACGGAGAATGAGGGTCGCGTTTCCATCGGTGACTTTTCCGGTTTCGTGCCCTGCACACCAGCCGGATGCGTGGAGCTGATCAAGCGCACGGGCGTCACAATTGCTGGAAAGAATGCCGTGGTGCTTGGCCGCAGCCGCATTGTGGGCACGCCTGTTGCAGAGCTGCTTAAATGGGAAAACGCTACCGTCACCGTCTGTCATTCGAAAACCAAGAATTTGAGCGAGATCGTAAGTCAGTCAGTGGAATAATTATGTTTTCATGAATTTTACAGGGTTTAAAAAGGGGATACAAGAGGTTTTAAAGATTTTGTGCTGCTAAAAAGTTAAGAGAATCAATTATTCCATTTCGTTCTTCTAGTATCGTATCCCATCTCGTCCTATTAATATCGTAAGAGACGACTATGGAATAAGCCAGAATAACCTCATAACTTTAGGTAGATGACGTACACCTCAATAATACTAGGTGTAAAATACACAGACTGGAGACAGCGTCTGGTAATGCGATAATATTGGTGGTACCGATTACGAAAAATCTTTCGTTACATGTGAGAAGTGCAGTCCAGCCGTGGACTTAGCTTAGTTTACTTTACGACGGGCTATTTTCGGAACTTCACGTCTAAGCGCGTTTTTTATAGGATAAGGGTGACTAGCGAGCATACAAACCACCTGATGGTACGTCGTAGCTGTGGTCCATATGCATCTACATCTCGCGTTTGCGAATTAATATGCAGATACGTTGTCAACCGTGAGGACTAAGATGGAACAGTAAAAATGGTCTCCGGTTCTCTACACTCAACATACGAAACACAGCAGCATTAATCTACTATCTTACACTGGTGTTCAGTGAAAGCGTGGTCCTTCCCCGGTCGAGCCGACCCATTCGTGCTACAATTATACAATTAATATAGCTGCAGAGTGGCTCTACCACGTATAAAACACACGTTTTACGTGTGGGCAGAAATATTGTGATTATTAGAATCATGAAATCTCCTCAAAGAAGTTAAGTAGTTGTCTGATGTTGCGAACGACCTCGGGTAGCGACCTCGGCGTGCAAAGATGTTTAGTGTGTGGTGACGCACCAGCAACTAGTGGCCACCGTTTCCTCCTCCCTCATACATGCCTTGTGCAGGGGACGGTCTGGTGAATAAATGTTTGTTAAAAGCAGCAGTGGACTTTAGAAGGATTATATTTTCGAGCGGATGCCCGAAGTAATGAATTAAGAAAACTGGTAAATTGTGGTTAAGGGGTAGATCGACTTCTTAACCTAACAGGAGCAATAGAAAACGACAATAAGTGTTAGATGCAGATGAACTTGTAACTGTTTATTTTAATTTGCATACGAGTACATTGTTTTCGACTAGATTTCGACTAGAAAAGCCCAAGATTCAGTAGTTAAATTAAGACTGTTGTAAAAATATTAGGACCTCCTTTCTGTAGAATGTTATATTTCTACTTTTAGACGAAAACCGCTGACATCTTAGTGGTGGCTATTGGCAGGGCAGAGATGGTTCGTGGTTCCTGGATTAAACCTGGAGCGATCGTCATTGACTGCGGAATTAACCCCATACCAGGTAATGATTTAGTTTTCGCTAATATTCTAGATCTAGTAAGATATGCAGGTAGTCGATGGATACAGGAGAATCAGGACCGTGTTTTTTGGCCTACCTTGGTAGAGATCTATGTTCAGCAGTAGACTTGTGAACGTCTGTAATGATGATGATGATGGAGATAATGATGAATATTGTGATATACACAGATACAAATATATAGTACATACTAAGAACAAAAATAAGATTTCTAGTAATTTTCGTACTCATTATTGCGGAAGCGAGTGGCCTTCCTGATGCGACGCGTGCGAGACAGTGCCAACGGACTCCTACATATATGTACTGTATTAGCAAGGCTTCATTGTCCCGTTGTGCGGCACTGGAACACTGTGACTGGGACCCCATATCCAGAGCTGTTAAGTTTAATATAAAAATAAATAAGTATTGTTGTTTTTAATTGTATATTTACTAACATTAATTTTAAGTTTATTTTATTTATTACTAACAAAGTATGGAGCTTGTATCTGAAATAAAATTACTATTATATTATTAGAACTCACTAAAATCATTCCGACTAATGTTTAAAAACTTTTCTGCCGACTTCCAAAAATGAGACGGTACTTAATTAGACGCGTATGTTTTTTTTATGTGTGTTACCTCATAACTTTTTACTGGGTGGATCGATTTCGATGATTCTTTTTTTATATGAAAGCTGACACTTCTCGTGTGGTCCCATATGAATTTCATCAAGGTCAGACCAATAGTTTTTGAGTTATTTGAGTTATTCTTAATAACTTATATTGAAGTCTGCTGTACAAAATTTTTAATTTTAAATTATATTATCGAACTGAGATTTTTATCTTCGTTTATACTGTTTAAATATGACACACCGTGTACATTAGTACGTAGTATTATAATTCATTATAACTCAATGCATACCATACCTTTCCGACACTATGCAGTCTTCAAATGACATATCAATTTTGTTTTATCAACTTTGGGTCCACTTGCACATATACCTAACAAGCTTGCTATACAAGAACGTAGCAGTAAGGAGTTAGTTTACAAACGCAACCACACCACTCGTCATTTACGCGATACGCAGTTTGAATTATAGCGAAGGTAATAATTACGTACTTTATTTATCAAGATCAATACGAAATGCGTGTTATCTCCGGAGGAATATGTGACTGTGAACGATTGACTGTTTGAAACTAGATGTTATCTGTAATATACTTCACAGAATACCAGCACAAATAGCAGTTCAGTGCTGCTGTGTTTCATATGGTAAGTGTAAAGAACTGGAGACCCTTTTTACTGGAAACGAAGCATTATATCTTAGTCTTTAGGGGTGACCTGACAACACATATGCATTTTGACCCTTATCCGAGGATAGGTGTAGAAGTCTATGAGCCACAATATCCACTAAGCATCAGGTGAACTGTGTGCTCGTTTGTCACCCTTACTCTATAAAAAAATACTTAAGCTCGTATTGTATGGGTTGGAAATCAATGATTATTTGGGACATCCATTAAGGAATATTAGCAAATGTTTATGTTGGCAATAAACTCGGAAAACCTTTTTAGCTATGTAAGTAACTAAGTGTAATTTATAAAACATTCCAGACTTGACGAAGAAGAGCAAGCAACGGCTGGTTGGCGACGTGGCGTACGAGGAGGCCGCGAAGGTCGCTTCATATATCACACCGGTGCCGGGCGGCGTGGGTCCGCTGACGGTGGCGATGCTGATGCGCAATACCGTGCTGGCCGCGCGGCGCCAGTTGGAGCGCCAGCTACGGCCCACTTGGGGGCTGCAGACCTTGAGACTTGCGCCCTTGACACCGCCGCTTAGGTACCTATATAAAAAGAGAGGCAAATTTTATTCGCAGCTGTATAAGCACTAAAATGTGGCAGCTCTGATCAGTTTTAGACCATGGTGGTTGGTAACTTCGGAAAAATCGGAAGATAGCGACTGTGGAGAAAATATTACATGCAGTAAGAGCACAGTTAAATAAGTACCTCTGACTCACATGCCCTAATCTACCATGTCCTATATAACGCATACCTATGCGATATGATCGTAGGTAGTCTACTACTAGTCGTAGTTTCAACGACACAATCAAGCCCATCTACTGAGATTCGTTTCTAGAACCTCTAGTCTAATAGCTAAGTATTCTAACCACAATGGCAATGCAGTCGTATTGAAAATATTACTTAATATATTTTGATTTTTGCTTTAGAAGAGACTTTGTTATGTTATGAATATGTTTAGTTATTTTGCTTCGTAAAATATAGTATAGTTTAGAAAAACGATCACATGTTTATTCTAGATGTTCAGCAGATGACAATAGGAAACTGTGTCAAAAGTGGGGAAACTGGGTTTCTCCAAATCGCCTGTTAAGTGTGGCAAATATATCAAATCCTTTCTTCAAAAGATGAGATTGGATTTATTTCAGAAACAGAAGCAACCGGCCAAATTTGCAGAGAAGGTTCAGAATAATTAATATACTTAATCAAATATAGAAGAAAAAAAAATCTCAAGCAGTCCTTTTTATCTTTTTAATTCAAAATGTGTGGTTATTCATTATTTTAACTGATTTTAGTGCGCACGCACACATTCGTAAGGGTCGATCTGTAGGCAAAAACGTTGTTGCCTATAAATCACATTTAGTTTAGGATAATTTCAAATAAAAGTAGGAGCCTTATTTGCTCGTATTTTCAAAAACTGCTATAACGGTATATCATTATTTATATATTTAAACTTAAGTTTAAAATTTGGCTACTGTTTGAAAAATAACCCTGTATATATTATTTTTTTATAGGATAGGGTGACAAACGAGCACACAGTCCACCTGATGGTAAGTGGTTGCTGTGGCCCATAGGCATCTACATCTATCCTCGCTTGCGAATCAAAATGCAGATGCGTTGTCACCCGTGTAGGACTAAGATGGAATGCCTCTTTTCCAGTAAAAAGGGTCTCCGGTTCTCTACACTCACCATACGAAACACAGCAGTTTTAAGCTGCTATTTTGCGCTGGTATCTTGTGAGAGCGTGGTCCTTCCCCGGTCGAGCCGACCCATTCGTGCTACAACTATACTACTAATATAGCTGCAGCATGGCTCTACCACGTATAAAATAGAAGAAAATATATAATATAGAAATAGTAGAAAATTCATATATTTTCTTTTCCTTTTTTTCATCAGTTCGTAATTGTTTACTGCTGGATAGCAGCTCCCTCTGGCAGGAAGGATTTAGCATTATCACCTTGCTTGGTTGGCGGATTAGTGATCGTAATGTCTTACATTGTGACGTCGCCGCCGGCGTAAATGGGACAGAAATACGGCCTATAGCTTTAAATATCTTCCTAATATTTTAACATAGTAGCTTCTTATTATACCGACGGGACGAAATGAGATGATGGACGTCGTCTTCACACACCTAGCCTCCTATATTTTATGTTTGTTAAAAGACAAATAAAGTACTGCGAAAATGTAAACAACCCGTATATGGTTAATAGTATGAGCTTTGTGCCGTCAGATATTACTAATAACAATTTCACAGATAACAATCGCCATTTAAGTTAGTTAAAGAGTTAATTCACTTCAAGCTCAAAGGTAAAGGAAAATACAACAAAGAAACCTGAATGCCTACAAAATTAAGGACATGTTGTGAAGTCCGCCAGTGGACATTGGAGCAGTGCGGCGGACTTACTGCTTCATAACCCCTTCGAAAATGTGAGCAGGCCCTTGCGTAGCAGTCAAGAGCAGTGTATATATTCTGTAACTTAAACTAATAACTTAACTTTATATGTACATAACTTTATTTATAATTTTGTTGGTATTTTCATAGCGACATCGTGATAGCTCGATCACAGAAGCCGAAGCACATTGCCAAGTTGGCGGAGGAGATCGGCCTGTACCCGAACGAGGTGTCACAGTATGGCACCACGAAGGCTAAGATATCGTTGTCGGTGCTGGATAGACTGAGCGCCCAACGTGGTGGGAAGTACATCGTTGTTGCAGGGTAAGTAATAAAGTATTTAGGGTCGATTTAAATCTGCAGAGAAAAAATATTAATATTTTTTTTTATAGGATAAGCGTGACAAACGAGCACACAGTCCACCTGATGGTAAGTGGTTGCTGCGGCCCATAGACATCTACATCTATCCTCTATTATAAATCAAAATGCAGATGCGTTGTCACCCGTGAGGACTAAAATGGAATGCCTCATTTCCAGTAAAAAGGGCCTCCGGCCACCTGCACTCACCAAACGAAACGCAGAGGTAAACCTCTACTTCACGCTGGTATTCTGTGAGGTCCTGGTACCACCCCGGTTCGAGCCGGCCCATCCGTGCGACAGCAAAAGCTGCCGCGTGGCTCTACCACTGTTAACATACAACAGTTAATAGAATAAAATACAACATTGATTAAATATTACAGTTTCTACGTGGTAGAGCCATGCTGCAGCTGTATTAGTAGTAAAGTTGTAGCACGAATGGGTCGGCTCGACCGGGGAAGGACCACGCTCTCACAGAATACCAGCGTCATATAGCAGCTTAACACTGCTGTGTTTCGTATAGTCAGTGTAGAGAACCGGAGACCCTTTTTACTGGAAAAGAGGCATTCCATCTTAGTCCTCACGGTGACAACGCATCTGCATATTGATTCGCAAACGAGGATAAATGTCGAGGTAAATGTCTATGGGTCACAGCAACCACTTACCATCAGGTGGACTGTGGGCTAGTTTGTCACTCGATCCTATAAAAAAAAAACAGTTGTGTGAATAAAATAGTTCAATTGTTTCAATTTTATATTTTCGCCAGGTTATAATATAATTTATTCGGTGGATTAAAGTTATCTGACGATTGAATAATCAACCCTTAGTTTTTTATTATTTTCACGAAGAATACAAAATATGATATATAAAATATGCGGTACTTATTACATCATTTCACAGCCCTTCACAGGTCCGCTGCTGAACATAGGCCTCCCACAAGAAATGCCACAAAGCACGGTCCTGAGCCACCTGCATCCATCGACTTCCTGCATGTCTTACCAGGTCGTCACTCCATCTAGTGGGGGGACGACCTACACTTCATCCGCCAGTACGAGGCCGCCACTCGAGAACCTTTTGTCGGTTCTTCGAGCCATATGGCCGACTCATTGCCATTTCAGCTTACTAATCCGTTGGGCTATGTCGGTCACTCTGGTTCTATTGCCGATATCCTCATTTCTAAGTTTATCACGCAGAGAAACTCCGAGCATAGCCCTCTCCATAGCTCGCTGAGCGACCTTGAGCTTCTTCATCCGACCAACAGTGAAGGAACACGTCTCAGTTCCATAAGTCAGCACTGGCAACACGCACTGATTGTACCGTCTCGTTTTCAAGTTTTGAAGCATACCTGACGAGAAGATGTGTCGTAATCTCCCGAACGCTGCCCAGCCGAGTTGAATCCGTCAATTGACCTCTCAGTCGAAGTTGAACTTACCTAGTCGGACTATTTGTCCCAGATAAACATATTCGTCAACAACTTCGAGCTTAGTCCTCCCAACAACTACCGGCATAGGTGTGACATGGACGTTAAACATGATTTTTGTTTTGTCCATGTTTATCTTAAGACCTGTCCGTTGGAAGACACTATTGAGGTCATTGAGCATAGTACTTAGGTCCTCCAGCGATTCTGCCATAAAGACTATATCGTCTGCAAATGGAAGGTGAGTGATGTACTCGCCATTGGCGTTGATACAGTATCCTTTCCAGTCCAGTAGCTTGAAAACGTCTTCCAATGCAGCGGTGAAGAGTTTCGGGGATATTACGTCACCCTGTCTTACACCTCTCTGCAGTTGGATAGGTTCTGTACTCGGATAGCCATCGTAGCCCTACTATACCAACACTTCAGCACTTCGATATACCGACAGTTCACTTGGCACCGTTGGAGGGACTACAGCGCCACTCAAATTTTGACAGAATCAAAGGCTTTTTAATAGTCCACATACGCAAGACAATGGCAGATTGTACTCTTCGGTCTTCTGTACAATTTGCCTAAGGGTATGTATATGGTCTATGGTGCTTTTTCGGCCTTTTAAAGCCTTTTCGGAAACCGGCTTGTTCGGGAGGCTGGAAGTTGTCAAGTCTGCATGTGAGATAATTCATAATGACTCTCGAAAACAGCACGTAGACACGGCTCAGAAGGAAATGCGTTCTGTAGTTCTTCAAGAGAGCGTTGTCGCCTTTCTTGAAGAACAAACCCAACGCGCTTCTGCTCCACGCCTGCGGAGTAGTGCCTCTATTAAGGACGGAATTAAAGAGGTTCTGAAGGACTTTAAGTACCGGTTTTCCACCCGCTTTTAGAAGCTTCGCGGTAATTGTATCCTCGCCCGGGGACTTGCCGTTTTTAAGGTGCTGGAGAGCCATTCTAATCTCGCTCAGACTGACGCCGGAATAGTGTCGGATAAGACCTGCTCTTGGATCGTAGCTCACACTTGTGTGGCTCCAACGATGACGTGTACACCTCTCAATCACACTCAAAATCCCAGGTGTCTCTGAAACGATGCTGCCAAATTCAGTCTTCAGCTTCGACAGATGGCTCTTTCTGGCAGACAGATCTCTGGCAAAGACTTTGGAGCCCTGGTTCTGCTCGATCGCTTCTTCAATACGAGCGGTATTAAAGTTGCGTTAGTCCCGCCGCATGCATTTGGAGATCTGTCTGTTCAGTTGCCTGTATGCTATCAAATCTACTGAAGACTGCAGCTTCATTTCCCGTCTAACAGCCATGAGATTAAGAGTGTGATCAGAGAGTTTTTGTGTTCTTCTGCGGCGGATCTTACAAAACTTAGCTCTGAGCGCATGGACAGTTTCCACGAGCTTGTCATTTATATCGTCCACTGCATTGAAAACTTCTAGGCACTGAAAACTATTTTGTAACTCGAGCTGAATGGTTTCGGGACTTTGGATGCACGAGGGGGACGGAACGTTGACTTCATTAGACGACACCTCTCTAACATAACGTTTAGGTTCAGTGTGCCTCTAACCATTCGGTCTGTCATTCGGTAGTCTTTACCCTCGCGATTACTGAGACATGACTGTGAACAGTTGTCGTCTGGTCGCCATAATGAAGTCAATTTAATTTTTTGTCGAACCGTCGGGGCTCGACGAGGTCCACTTCCTGAGGGGCCGCTTCTGGAAGAAAGAGTTCATCATAAGGAGTCCCTCTTTCTCCATGAAGTCGGCCAGCTTCTGGCCCCTTGCGTTCCGTTGCCCTATTCCGAATTTTCCTAATTTCAGCTCACCGTTCTCTCTTGTGCCTAGTTTTGCGTTGAAGTGTCCTATTAACACCGTATAGACGGTTTTGGAGGAATGCATGGCTCTAGATATATCCTCATAAATTTCCTCCACCTCCTCATCGGGATGTGCCGAGGTTGGTGCGTAAACCTGTATAACCTTCAGCGAATACCGTTTGGTGATTCTAAGAATAAGGTATAAATAACCCTCGTCGACACACTCCCATTCTTTACAACTTTGTTAACGAGAGACTTGTGGACGATAGGTGATAGAACAAGTAGCCGGATTCGAGGATTACCGTGTCCTCCCCCTCTCTTCGGATTTGGGATAATCCTATAATATTCCAGCGCAACTTCTCTATCTCTTCTTCTAGCTCCAGGATCTTCTCGTCAGTCCTCAGGGTACGTGCGTTATAAGTTGCCAGGTCGAGTCGTCGTAGGTGGCAGCCGAACCTGCACCGGAGATTCTTAGCACCCCCTGTCCCGCCGTTACTATGGTCGCCACCGTAGCCAGGAATAGCGGGGTCGCCGGGGACTGGGGGCCGTTTATTAGTGTCATTGCTCATGGGTGTATATTGCCATAGTTGCCACGCTTGGCAAGCGGGTTAGCAACCGCAGTTTTTTATTGCTTTTTACTGTTATCAGAAATATGCTGCTGCCTATTTTCTGCCCCAGTTTCCTGCTGTCACCTTTTACGACACCCACGGGAAGACATGAGGTAGTGGGTATTCTTACCCGCCATTACACGGGGTCGGTGTAGTGGCGTGTAAGAATCCCGGCGCTGTAGAAATACAAGTTATTTTTTTAAATAAAATTAGGGTGACAAATGAGCACACAATCTACCTGATGCTAAGTAGTTGATGTGGCCCATATACATCTACATTTATCCTCAATTACGAATTAAAATGCGAGTTTTCACCCGTGAGGACTAAGATGGAATGCCTCGTTTCCAGTAAAAAGAGGTCTCCGATTCTCTACATTCACCATACGAAACACAGCAGGATTAAGCTGCCATTTTACGCTGGTATTCTGTGAGAGCGTGGTTCTTCCCCGATCGAGCCGACTTATTCGTGCTACATCTATACTATTAATATAGCTGCAGCGTGGCTCTACCACGTAAAAACACCATTGACCAAGGTTATTATTTTTATAATCAAGGATTTTTATTACAATATTTTGTTTCTCTAATAGTACGTAGGATTTATATATAAATATACTTATACGTCTTGGACTTTATGGAGTAACCTGAAGGTATACTTCGGTATTTGCTACTGGAACTCCTCGACGAGTAGGACTAGGTGTGACGAGATTGTGCTCGTTTTGTTAGTTTTGATGGCATCTTACCTTCGGACAGTAGCGGATTATTAGACTAGGCACGTGCCTAGAGGCGCACTTCGGTGAATGCTATTGGAACTCCTCGAAGAGTAGTACTAGGTGTGCCGAGTTTGGCCTCGTTTTGTTAGTTATGATAAGACCTTACCTCCGGACTTGATAGAGTGACTTGAAGGTGTACTTTGGTTATGCTACTGGAACTCCTCGAAGAGTAGTACTAGGTGTGCCGAGTTTTGCCTCCTTTTGTTAGTTATGAATAGACCTTATCTCCGGACTTGAAGGAGTGACTTGATATTTAAGATTTAATATTGTACACCTGAAATAACTGGAATATGGAGCACAAGTTTACATTAACATATTCTTAAGATCTTATTTCATTTTACCTGTAGTTATTATGCTATAAATATTATTTAAAACTGTTATCAGGTAAATGCTGCTGCCCAACTCCCGTTTTAATTTCCCTATGTCGCCTCTTACGACACCAACGAGATGTTGTTAGTTATTATTACACGGTTGTAAAATTGAATTTAAAAAATCCATCTTTATTACTATTTATTAACTAACGATTAACGGTTTAACGGTTCTCATTAGAAACTTTACTCTTGCGCCGCTGTTCATCCATTGGATGTAGAAAGAGGTGTCAGAGGGAAACTGAAACAAGAGATGGACAGCAGAATCTTCCTATTTCAATAATTCTTATAAATTTGATCGAGATCAAAATAAGAATTATTGTTTTGACTTGACTTTAACTCACCTGCCAAGCGTGAGCAATGGCAAATATCTCCCTTATGAGGCAATCTACGGGTGAGGCTTATGTTCAGAAATAGATTATTGACAAGGTATATTGAATAAATGAATTTAACGGTAAATCCGTAGCATCACACCTACTCCTCTGGGTGAGGGCAAAAGCACGACGCTGCTGGGTCTGGTGCAGGCGCTGTGCGCGCACCGCGGCCGCAACGCGTTCGCCTGCATGCGCCAGCCCAGCCAGGGTCCCACCTTCGGCGTCAAGGGCGGCGCCGCGGGGGGTGGCTACTCGCAGGTATACATGTCTTATCTCACGAAGCCGGACGAGCCTTACTATTCTGTTGCTTAGCAAATGACGCATTGACAGACACAGTTTCCTTAAATCATTGCGAAAAACTTTTCTACTTTTATTTTAGTGACTGGATAATAATTTTTGACTCTATAGCTTACACAAACTAAAACAATGTGCACACGTAAGTACACCTACACTACAAGTAAGACCAACTCGTGATCGTGATATGAAAATACTGAAGGTAATCTACCTATGTATACTAATATAATTATAGGCTGTCATTATGAGGCATTTCACCTCAGTCCTCAGAGGTGACAATGCATATGTAGCCTTATTTGTTTGATGTTGGTCGACGTATTTATGGATTGTAGTAACCACTTTCTCTTCAAAATACAGCGCCATGCGCAAGCCCTTCCTCGTTACAAGTGTGGAGAGAAGACTAACCCCTTACAGGTTCACAAGGATGCAGGAAAAATCACAAATGTCATTTCCAGTTCTACATTTCTACTATACGTATTATCCATGTCCAAGAAAAAATCTCACTTTTCTAAATATATACACCAAAGTTTCTTTGACAGCTTAGATTCTAAATATCTATCAAGTTATTTGAAGAAACATTCATACTTACCGCATTGTTTTTTTTTAATTATCTTTTAATTTATCACCTAACCGGTTTTGTACTTAATCAACAATAGCAAATCGTGTGGGTATCAGTGTTTCTTATCATCGTCATCATCATCATTACAGACCTTCACAAGTCCACTGCTGAACATAGACTTACCCCAAGGAAAGCCATAAAACACGGTCCTAAGCCATCTGCATCCTGTGTTTCTCATATTGCATAAAAATGTAATGCCATCAAGAGTTAACAATCGGAGTATAAAGTATGTATCAAAGTATTAATTAACAAGTTCATAAGGTTTTATTATGATCTTAGTAAAAACATCCTTACTTTTTTTTAATGAAAATTAATTTCACAGGTTATTCCTATGGAAGACTTCAACCTTCACCTAACTGGCGACATTCACGCAGTCACAGCTGCTAATAATTTACTCGCAGCTCAGATGGACGCTCGTATCTTCCACGAACTCACCCAGAAAGACGGCCCTCTATATGACCGCCTGGTGCCAAAAATCAAAGGTGTCAGGAAGTTCTCCCCGATCCAGCTAAGAAGGCTGAAAAAGTTGGGCATCAACAAAACCGACCCGGACTCATTGACTGACGAAGAGAGGACCAAGTTTGCCAGACTCAATATCGATACGAATAAAATTATGTGGAACAGGGGTAAATATTATTAATATTAGCCACATTCGATAAAGAATGCTAGTTGTTTTGTCGTTTATGTAATTGTGTTGCCCTTGATAAGTTATTTTAGCTTTGGTTAAGATTTACATATTGAGTCACAAATATATTTTTAAAATAAATGAATAAATAACTCTTGAGGTCTTTTTCCTAACCAAAGAATGGTTATGCACTCGCACGATTATTAATTTTGCCAGTGTTTGCAATTGCAAATTATATTTTCCAATAATTTGTCATTCATTAATGCGTCACATTGCGAAGTTTTTGTGTAATTTTGACTCAACTTTTTTGAGGCTTATATTCTAATTTTCAAATTAATTTCTACAAAAAACACAACTAAAATTTGTGGAGGTGGAATGATGTAAAGTGGCAATTTTTTAAATTTTAGTTGTGGACTTGAACGATAGATATTTGAGGAAGGTCACAATTGGACAGTCTCCAACCGAAAAAGGCTTCACACGTGAAACAGCGTTTGATATTTCCGTGGCATCAGAGATTATGGCGATCTTGGCCCTGGGCAAGAACGTTGAAGACATCAAGGAGCGGCTAGCTAACATGGTTGTCGCTTTAGACAAGAGTGGTAATCCGGTCACCGCTGACGATTTGGTAAGTCGACTGACATTTGACATACAAATTACACACGATTATTGTTCATGTTTTTCAATATAATTTATTAAGGCGAGGATATCCTACAATAAAAGGCTTCTAGCGCTCCCACATTCACTTCGACATTTTTGCTTATTATCAGGAAATAAAAGATATTAAAAAAAATGTACCCGATAAAAAATATAATTGAATAACATGCTTTTCATATTATCGATAAATATTATACCGTTATCGCTAAAAAACGAGAACTTGAACGTTAAAGTTTCTCCCCAGCGATCAAATTATATTTTCTACTCACTTTGTATGTTTTATGTGTTACCTCATTACTTAGTTCTACATGAACCAATTTCGATGATTCTTTTTTATTTGAAAGCTGGTGCTTCTCACTTGGCCCCATATAAATTTGATCAAGGTCTGACAAATAGTTTTTGAGTTATCCTTAATAATATATATTGAAGTCGGTGGTACAAAATTTTTAATTTTAAATTATTTTTTAAGAGAGGGCAAAGGAGCTTGCTGATCACGGACAGTAGACATGCGCCCTGTTATTGTTTGACTGTTACTCTTCATTCGTAAGTGTGTGTTGTTAAATGTTAGGGAGTGACGGGTGCATTGATGGTGCTGCTGCGCGACGCCCTGGAGCCCACGCTGATGCAGACGCTGGAGGGCACGCCGGTGCTGGTGCACACCGGCCCCTTCGCCAACATCGCGCACGGCTGCTCCTCCATCCTCGCCGACAAGATCGCCATGAAGCTCGCGCGCGAGGACGGCTACGTGGCCACTGAGGCTGGCTTCGGATCTGACATTGGTTAGATTTTTGGTTTTTAACAGCAGACTATGATCAAGACTCCTAGTTCTAGGATAACACGTTGTTGTCAGCCTTTTAAAGACTTCAAATAGGCGTTTCAAAACTAATACTCATGTACGAGTTATGCTGCTCCCAGTCACTGGCTTGTGCGATTTAAGTTTGTATAGCGTTTGTTGATGGGTTTTCTGTCATTAGTTATCTTCAAAGGCTCTTGTACCAATCAGTAAGGGTGATGTTTCATAGATAATGAATGAAAATAAATGTGTACTTAAAAAAAGCAAAAAAAAACGAGAATTACGCGGTAGAAAGAACGTTGGACGTACAAACTGCAATTTTGAAAGTTTATCCCTAAAAGGCTTGCTCAGTATAATCGCTGTTAGACAATGCAGTCATCATGTCATGTTGTCAGGGGCTAAGCACAATTTTAAACTTCATAGATAGATATGCAAGCAAACAAGGTTTGATACACGCCGGCACCAATGAAATTGGCAATTGCAATTTTAAGCTCTGATTTATCATGTGCTCAGGAATGAAAGAATTCATTGTGAGGGAACTTCATGGCTAAGAAATAAAACAAAATAAATGACATGCATTAGAGCAGGGCGGTGAACATTTCCTTGCCATTAAACCCTCTCAGAACTGAGGGGAGGCCTGCGCCCATCAGTGGGACGTGTATAGGCTGTAATTTTACTTCATTATAATATATTTAATACGTTGCGGTTCCAGGTATGGAGAAGTTCTTCGACATCAAGTGCCGCGCGAGCGGCGACGTGCCGCACTGCGCGGTGATCGTGAGCACGGTGCGCGCGCTCAAGATGCACGGCGGCGGGCCCGCCGTCAGCGCCGGCCAGCCGCTGCACGACGTCTACGTGCAGGTGCGTGCTGCTCTTGTGTAGTTCGCGGACGATCAACGAATAGGAAACGTACCTTAGCACTGGTACTAGAAGAAACGTTTTCGAACACTGATTGTTAATCGGTACAACAGCTCTTGCGATACGCGAGACCGCGCGTTTGAGCGAGAGTGTATGAGAGCAAGCGAACGAGAAAGTCGGTGAGTTGAGTATGTCATTCGGACAAGAGCTGACGAACACCTATAATGGTACCATTGATTAAATCTGTTAAAAGGAGACGTTATAGAAAGATACATGTTAGGTATGTCAATGCTTATTGCATTGTCTAATTTAGCTTACCATCCGAAAAGTTATCATACTTATTATACTTAATAAATAGATACACACGAACATTATTAAAATTATCATACTTATTATTTACTTAATAAAAAAGGCGATCGTGTAAAAATGTAATAAAATTGATGTTTTGAGTTTAAAAAAAATTGAGTATTTTTTGTGCTTTTTATTATTATTTTTTTAATATTGATGCTTTTTATTTTCGCATATTATGGATATGGGATTTTATTTCATTACCGTTAATTATTTTTTCAACACTAATTTACTTAAGAACTTTATTTTGACCAAGAAATTACTTACATACACCTGTGTGTACACGTGTACATTACGATTTAAGCAGATATCGAACGACTAAGACTGACTGACTGAGATAACCATTCCATACAGATTTTACACATAGATACAGTTTAAAATACTTAATAGTATTGATGACAGAATAGAACTAATAGAACGAAATAGTTCACTGTCCGTAATGAACTAGTATTACGGAGCGATCTTTAAAATGACCGAGCAGGCACAATACTAGTGCGTGTGCACACCACACACCACTACACCACTACCCCCCGATGTCACTTGCCAGAAATTACTCTCCAAATTATTAAACTAGCGATCGCCCAGTAGTCAAAATTCGATCGTAATTGGTAATATTTTATGTTTGTATTTCCGTTTATGTGCAGACAGCTTACTGAATTTCATTTTGACCTGCACATTATAACGTAAATATGTCATATGCAAAATATAAAATAAACGCCTTTTTGTCTCGACATACACTCCACAGACTATTGAAAAAGGAACATTTGATATCACACAAAATTAAGTTGTAATTATTAGTTTACATTATTATACGATTCTTTGGCAACAATCTCTACTCTGTGCGCCACACACACCGCTAATTGCCTGAATTCGGCTTGCTACTGATAATTTTCGCCTAATATTTCCCTGAAATATTTGCCATAGTTTTTACTCTTTTAGTTATTATCAGGAAGACGCTGCTGTCCATGTACTGTTTCATTTCCCGCTGCCGACCCTCACGACACCTACTGGGTATTTTATACCGCCCCTACACGGTTTTTTATTTAGGTTACAACAATACTTGTTTTATCACATGAACACAAAATATTCCCACAATCACAATTCACGTTTTTCGTAGATATAATTTGGGGTGTGTGACAATTATTTATTATTTATTTTACAGGAGGATTTGGAGTTGCTCGGCAAGGGCCTGTGCAACTTGGGCAAGCATATTAGCAATGGCAGAAAGTTCGGTGTGCCCGTTGTTGTAGCTGTCAACCGTCACGGGTTAGTATTTATACTTTTTGCCCGTCTAAAGGAAAGGGGAGATCTCCCGCGGAGCAGTGTTCAACTTCAACCCGGGCAACTGCCAACGCTCCGTGTAACGTGCGGAGCGAGACTTCGGCCACGGTCGTTGGCACCAAAGACCAATTATAAGAGGCATTTGGCAAGCCATGTAGGTCCTAATCAATTTAAAAGTAAGGTTCTCAAATATAGCAGTCTAGTATTGGCAAGTACAGTGTGACCGTCCAAAAAATGGTGTAACGAATCTTATAAGGCATACAGGGATGCTGATGCAGTTGACTCAGAACCTAGGTATTTGTTCAATATTTGATTTATGCTGGGCTGCAACAATGATTAATTCAAAGTATGCAAAAATGTAAGTTGAGTAATGACAATTTGAGCGAATATTATAACTTGATTTCAGTTTTTAAATGTTAAGAATTACACTTTTGTAGAAACTTTACGAAACTTTATGAAAGTAAGTTTCTTTCTTCTTCTCTACACTAATTAGAAAAAAAAATTTAAAGTAGGGTATTTGCACTAATTAAATTAAAAAATAGTGCATTATATTCCATTTAGATCAGCGGGTTTAGCCAAGAACCTTTACAATAAAATTAAAAAAAATTAATGAAATCAAAGAGTACATATGTTTTTATAGTTTTTTACAAGCGCTAACAATCGTATATAATAATTTGACTAACTCCGCAGATATTTAATGCATTATCTTGTTATCAACCGAGTGACTCATATCAACGGATGTTTAATTAAAATAAAAAATAATACTTTCTACTACCTTTTCATACAAATTTTAGTATTTTATTAAATGTTACTTAAATTAAATATTTAATAATATTTTTTAATAAAAATTATAATTTAAAAATAATGGCTATGTACTTAAACTTACTTAAGAAATAAATAAATAATAATAATATATCATTCGTTTGCAGTAACGACACAGAAGCCGAACTTAACCTGGTCAAACAGTACGCCGAACAAAATGGGGCGTTCAAAGCGGTGATCTGCAACCACTGGGCTAAAGGAGGCGCGGGAGCATTGGACCTCGCTGACGCCGTCATAGAGGCTTGCGATACTAAATCGGTCTTCGACTATTTGTATCCGCTCAACTTGTCCATTCAGGAAAAGATCTTGCTAATCGCAAGGGAAATGTACGGCGCCGGGCAGGTGGAGTACACCGATGAAGTTTTGGAGAAGATTAAAACTTTTACGGAGAAGGTTAGTGAGAATAATAAAACATACCGAGGAATAGAGATTTTTACTTCACTAGATGATAAGTTACAGTAGGTGAACATCTGGCATCAATTTCAATCAACAAACAACATATTGTGACGTCTGAATTCTAAGATGCAATACCTCACAATCTGTAATCACACTGACTCTTCAATGTATTCATTATGCGTTAACTGACACAAGCTTAAACCGTACTAATAATCTATATTTGAATAAATTAAAATCAATGCATTTTGAACTAGGACGCAAACTTTCAACGTAGGTATAAAATACATTATACATTAGTACGCTTCATGTTTATTATACAATAGTACGGTTAATGTGCAAATTGGCATTCATATGTTATAGGAAATTTTCTAGAAATACCTTTAGCTCTCAGGCAAAAATATCCATACGATAATGCCTTCACCGCCTAGTGTAGATGGTATATAAGCCTTAAAGATTACGATTTATATAATGCCGGTACTCACGGTCGATTTTGAGTTGCCCGTGAATTATGAAATATAAAAAGAACCCATAATTAACTTACTACTCTTACTTATTGGTCTTCCCAGTTTTGGCAGCACCCAAATGTTGTGGCGTTAATAAACAACCATAATTCCTGCCTTGCTCATGAAGTCTTTCTACACAGCCTGGCGTCGTAAATTAGGATTATTTATACAAATAATAGTGACAAACAAGGATATAGTCCACATCTACGTAAGCTGATGCTGTGGCCCATAGTCGGCTACATCTCACTTGATTAAGAAACAAAATGCAGATTCATTGATACTTCTAAGGACTGAGGGGTGGTATGCCATCATTATCAATATAAAAGGACGTCATAATCAGCAAAATGTACTTTGAAACAATCTCAATGGTGTTGGTGGCGGAGGTTACTCTCGGACTGTAGATTTTTGGGTGCATCCAAGTTAAATTGTATTAAAATGACAAAAGAGCTAAAGTCTACTAGATGGTAAGCGGCTACTGTAGCCCATACACCTAAAGCCAACTATAACCAAAGTAGGCTTTTTTATAGGATAAGGGTGACAAACGAGCACACAGTCCAGCTGATGGTAAGTGGATGCTGCGGCCCATAGACATCTACATCTATCTTCGATTACGAATCAAAATGCAGATGCGTTGTCACCCGTGAGGACTAAGATGGAATGCCTCGTTTCCAGTGAAAAGGGTCTCGATTCTTTACACTCACCATACGAAACACAGCAGCGTTAAGCAGCTATTTTACGCTGGTATTCTGTGAGAGCGTGGTCCTTCCCCGGTCGAGCCGACCCATTCGTGCTACAACGATAATATAGTTGCAGCATGGCTCTACCACGTATACTACTAGCTACAGTAAAGAAGACTATGATGAAATACGTCACAGATAGTAACATACCAGACTGCTGTTTGGCGACAGACAGACAGCAACATACCAGACTGCTGTTCGGCGGAAAAATTGAGGGTGGTACCAATTCAGATAGGACTCAGAGGCAGGAAAAGAGTGTTTTAACCTAAATAAAATTTCTGAAAGCTCTATAATTTATCCAGACCTACTAATTACTTTTGATGATAGAATTACAAAATTTAAAGTACCTCTATATTTTCTCTATCAGGGCTATGACAAACTGCCGATCTGCATGGCGAAAACTTCAAACTCCCTAACTGGTGACCCCACTGTAAAGGGCGCGCCGACTGGCTTCACTCTTCGTATCAACGACATTTTCGTATCAGTCGGAGCTGGTTTCGTCGTGCCCATGTGCGGCGAGATCAGCAAGATGCCTGGACTACCCACCAGACCCGCCATCTACGATATCGATCTGAACACCGAGACGATGGAGATTGACGGTCTTTTCTAAAACCTTATCACGTCTGTCACTTACTACCGCCAAGTTTGTGTTAAACTTCAACATACACAATAATTAGTGAGAATATTGAAAATAAATTAATTACTTTTAATTTTTAATGTTAATACGAAATTATAACATGAACGTGCTTGTTTTTGTTATAACTATAAAAACCACTTTACGCATTTCTTTACATTACGTTTTTATGGTAGCTTAGGAAATTAATGTAAATCTGACAACAGCCATGAAATTATGAGATCTCAGAGTTCGAACTTAAATATTACCACTATATAGACAATAGTGCAAGTACTATTAATCAATTAATGTTATATGCACCAATGTATGTATATACTTTGTATAATGTAATGTATTTTATGCGACCAATAAATGATTGGTTTGGTTAAATCTTTTATTTTGTCTATTTTATTTCAACTAAATCTACAGTTTTTACATATTCCAATATATTATATAAACATGTCAGGACTTTTGGATATATTACGTTAAATATAAGCCTTTACAAATTTACATTTTAGCGAAAATCCTAAATATTTTTTGTCTTCTGCAATAGTATATATATATATATATATATATATATATATATATATATATATATATATATATATATATATATATATATACACGTATTTATGCTATCCAAGTTTACAATAAATAGCTGGCAACAAAATGTTTTTATACTTTAGACGAACATATGACTTATAAAGAACAATAAATCTACAATAATGGTGAAATATGGAAAAAGTAATAATTTTTTTGGCATTTAACAGGTATTGTATTTTTTTTTGTGTTTACTGTATATTGAATTTGAGTGATGAAAGTTAGTACGTGTGGCGTGTTTGTGAGTACGCGAGCGCGCGTTCGCGCGTGCTTGTGTGCGTTAGTGTACGCGAGTATGCGGTCATGAGTGCGTTTGAGTATGTGCTTTTGAGTCGAAAGTAAATATGCACCAATGTATTGTTGTAACTGTTAGTTTAGAGGTAATAATATGTATGTGGCGCAAGATCAATCTATCGTCAAATTAATAAGCAATGCCATCTGCCAAAACCTCTAAGACAGCTTTTTTGAATTTGACCATGGACGAGCGTCGAAAGGGTCATTGCTAGAGAAATATTTAGATATGTTCTTAGTACTTTATTAGTAACAGAGTTCTTCACATAGTTTCTGTAAGTTGGTGGTACATAAAATAGTTACGAAAATTTACTGACAGTATTATCCTAAAAACATATACCTAATACAAACACACACACACACACACACACACGCACGCACGCGCGCACGCACGCACGCACGCACGCGTTTTATTTATATAGAAATAACTTTAACAAACCATATAGAATCATTCCTTGTAGTATAATTGAATATATAGTATAATAAATGTAAATATTATGTGCAATTCGTTAGGTCTCTCACAAAGGTTACAAATTGTATGCAACCGTATTATTTAGCTAAGTAATAATGTGAAATTTTATGCCTTTGTGAAGAGGAAATAAAATGATTTATTATTATTATTTCTTGGGGGTACGAAAACTCAAACTGCTATGATTGAGGGCTTAAAACCTTCCACTCACCAGATGTCGCTAGTTGACACTGAGATGAAGTATTTTGTTACACAATGTCAAGTTAGTTTTAAATAAAAATTTATTAATTTCTAGAGTATTATATTATAATACACAAAACAATGTCACAGTGATTTGCTCCTTAATTCTTTGCACATTTTTAACTTTTTATTTATTTTATTCTACTTTTATGAACATCTGTGGTTTGGTTAATTTATTTTTAATATAATTAATATAAAATGAGCTATGAGCTACGGTAGTCGTTGCTTTGACATCTACCGCGATAATCGCGATACGTCAGGAATCTCTTGTGTATACTCTGTATGATATACATATATTTTATATTAAGAATTGTCAACTAGTAAAACAAAATTCCGACACGCTGCGAATATATGAGAAATAAAGTGTTTTAATGAAATTTAAATTATTAAATGGTTTGGTGACACGTATAATAAATCTAAGATTTTTGTAGACTCGTAGTTAGTTTGCTGTCTAAAGTCACTCCGAAGTCTTTAACGATGTTTCTTCCGACATAGGATAACTCAATGTGGTAAGGTGGTAAGTATACTTTTATTTGACGGGTAAACGAGATGGATATATTGTAGGGAATGAGGGTAAAAAAATAAAAGACAATATGAACAAATGAAGGTACAATGGTAATCTCCATCCGGCATCAGTCTGTAATTCTAAGAGTCCCACTGTCGTTACTATGCCCGTTGGGGTATTCTACTAGTGCAGGCAAGGAAGGTCGTGTTGCTGAGAGGCTTTCCTGTGTCACATTGGGATGGGTGGTGATGCTGTTGGTTTGCATACTTTGGTGTTATCGTGCAATTGAGTCCTGATAGTAAACAGGGTTTGTTACCGAGTAGTGTCTTTGTATTTAAATACTTTTGTCGATATTAGCTGTTATGTAGTTATTTCTAAAACATAGAGCGATTTTAACTTCTTGGAGGAGCTGACAATCCTTTTCTAAATCTATATTCATATAATATATTTTTTCGTCATCTGCATACAGAAGATATTTGTCAATTTAGGGAAAGGAAAAGGACGTTAATATAATCAGATTTGAAACCATCTATGACCACAGCTCGGCAGCGATTAAAAATGTCTGTCTCTTTGTCTTTACAAACCTAAGCAAACCATCGTCAATCCCAAGCGTTTGTAGTTTTTGAAGCAAGATGACATGATCTACACGGTATCGAAGTCCGAAGTATCGAAGAAGTTTTGGCAGATCATGAATTGCAACTACTTGAACGCTGCCATTTTACCTAATCCTATTTGTACGTACGTAACACCTTTTTGAGACCTACCCCGTTTGAGTCTAGTATAGGAATTTTACGGGTTGGTATCAAGAACATGACTTTCTTAAGATTCACCGACATTGAACGCGGGTGGGCGAGACGGTAAGTGAGAAATGAGTTTCCATCATTACTCTGTGGGATTTCGGTTCAGCATATTTAAGTGGATTATCAGTTACCAGCTAATGAAGATAGATTTTTCTCGAGTCTTGCTCATTTGTTGCAATGATGCACCACGTGCAGGTGAGGTTAATACTGGGAGAAAAGCACAGTGTACTTATCTCTTATAAACACCTTTATATCTCTTTTGCCCCTCTTTATATTTAGTGGACATTTATTTACGTTTTCCCGTAGACGCATTTTATAACACCCTTTGAACGTAATAAGATAGGGTAATGGATTTATTATGTTCCTTAATCTCATGGCAAAATTAAGTTACATTATAAAATTTTAAATATAATCCATATTTGTTTTCCATTTGGTATCGCCTGATTTAAGTATCGGGCATACTTGCAAAACGTTAAAACTAGCTATAAGATGTTGAAATAAAAAAAAATTTGTTAATGAGTAATTTTATTAATCTTAGTAAACTTAAATGTAGACTTATAGTTAAATATATTTATGCAAAACTGATTCAAACAAAACATTAACGGTAGTGGACACATTTGATATTAAACAATATACAAAATTTGTTGATTTTTGATTAAAAAAGCGGTTATCAAACTGTTTAATATGTAGTTGCGTGTTGTATCAGTTCTGCATAACACTGTCCAGTGAGGGTTACTCAGCTGTCGGGCTCGAGTTCGTTGACGATTTCGGTGGGCGTGAATGCGGGCGTGTCTGTGGTGGAGGGTTGTGTCGTCGGAGCGGAGTCGTCGTCGTCGTCGCTGTCGGCGGCGCCGGGGTGCGCGGCGCGCAGGCAGCCGGGCTCGCGCGGCCGCGCCGCCGACCCGCTGCCCGGCGCGCTCCACACGCCGCCCTCCTGCACAACATCACCACCATCACCATCACCATCACAACACCTACTCACTAGCCATGGATAACACCACTCTCACCCTATATCAAATCATATCTATCTATTGGATTTGAATTATTGACTTTACATATTTCAATATCTATACGTACATCGGTTGATAATAACGTGATTCTGTAACTTTGTAAAGAAGTCAGTATTCAGTACTACTCTGTGATATACGTGATATATGATGTATTTGGTTTGTTTAAATTTATAGATATAATGTTATATCTACGCATTGATTGATATTTAAGATGCTCTGAAACGAGTATATTCTGCAATGCAGAGTTGGAGTAGTTATATCTCTTTTACTCAAATTTAATAATGTATTGTTCCGCACGCTTGTGGGCCATAGATATTTTACGTTATTATTATTTCTTCGAGTACGATGTTCTGTAAAGTAACGCTATGCTGAAACAACATCTAACACATAGTTTGTTGCCCAATATAGATATTGGATGTTGTACCAATATTTAAACATTATACCTATAAACTAATTAACACAAGCTATACAGAATAAGTCTGACATATATTCAATAAACGAAACTACATACTTATTATCGCCTTTGCTGACGATATACAAAAAATGAACGTAATCGGTCCAGTAATTAGGTCAAAAAGTAGAGATTTAATTTTAAGCATATTTGAACTCTCTATAGCATTAGGTCACATAATCCTTGAACATTAAAAAGCGACGTTGCCACGCAGTGCCAACTATTACAACGTGAGACTATGTACATCGACAATGGTGTCTTTTGGCGGCATCCACAAACAAGTGGCACGAGCCACGCGGCGTTCTTCAAAGGCGCACGTAGCGTAGAGTAGATGTGCGTGTGCGTGCGAACTCACCGTGCGTGCGCGTGCGTGTGCGTGTTGTCCGGAGCGCACGATGTCCAGGTACAGGTCGTACACGTAGCGCGCCATGTGCGGCATGTCGCGCACGGCCAGCACGCGCGCCACCGCCACCGCCGCGCCGCACGCGCGCTGCGCCGGGAATCGCTCCTCCACCACCAGCTGCAGCTGCAGCGGACGCTCCACTAGCTGCAACAAACATACATGTGTCATAATACTTCGAAAAAATGTAAAAATTAAAGTGGTAACCATCACGACTTTGTGACAGATTGA